TGTATTTGTATTGGAATAAACTTTAATGTTTACAGTCATTTGTGTCGAACTTTACACGCTCCTGAGAACTCAATAGGCGACTAAGTAAACAATCATTCAAATCTTTATTGAAGCATATCACAATTTAAAATTCTACTATATAATCTGATGCATAATTTAAAAACACAGTCAAATAACCAAGTATGCAATTTAAGAAAATTTCTACACAAAAAAAACAATTTCCGAATTCGGAAGCAAAAAGTAGTTTTCATATAAAAGGGCCTATTTTTGAGGAACCTTATTTGTATTCTGGCCGATGTGTACCCATTTCAGAAGTTAAGGGTTGAACCTTGCCTACAGATCATATGAATGGACAACCCTACTCGTTTATTAGTAGTTATAGACTATAGATACACGTTTAGACTAAGCTGTGTATTATGTAAATAGGAAAAGATTTGATAAAATTCAGGGTCAATTTGTTGAGGGGTTATTGTGATTTATTGTGAGGTTTCAAGTTTCATCCCGTTTTATAGGATTTTCCTGTAAAAAAGCTGGTAGTTGCCTACAATTAATTTTAATGTCCGTATGGTAGATTAATTTAAAACACGTATTTTTTTTCTCACAAAATAAACGAGCAGACGGATAACCTGATGATAAGCAATCGGCGTCGTCCATGGAGACCTAACACCAGAGGCGTTACAGGCCTTTAGGGAATTGGGAATTTGAGGATTATGGGGGATTTGGGGATTCGGGAGACTGGGAAGAGGGGTTAATTAGGCCTCCGGTAACCTCATTCACACGACAAAATACAGCGTAAGCGTTGTTTCACGTCGGTTTTCTGTAAGGCCGTGGTGTCACTCCGGTCGAGCCGGCCCATTCGTGCCGAAGCATGGTCCTCCCACACTTAGTCGCATTTACAACCATATATCCAATTATGTTATTACAAACCTGTCGCACCTCAACATTTCCCTTAATATAAACGTCTGTATTTACCAAACCACAAAGTCAAATAAAAATAAATGAAAGTCGTAGCACGATACACAATATGCAAAACTCGGCCGCGATGCACAGTCGAGTACGGACGTGTGTACGCTGCTCGCAACGAATATTTTATTCGCGAATTGCGCGGCTATAGCCGCTGCCCGTGTACGTAGCAATGAGTTCTAAACCTCTCATAGCAAACGAGTTATTGGCATTCTTGAAGCATGCCATTGATTATATGGACGAGATCAGCATCTTGCAGATCTGCAAGTCTGCCTTCAAGGAAGCAGAGATATGCAGTGCTAAGTTGCTGTTGTTCCAGACGCTCGGCAAAATCGACCAGATGCCGTCTCGCCGGAGAGATGGTACCGAGAAGAGTATCCAGGACATAATCACCCTGATGAAAGAGACTGACCCGGATGACGTGCCCGATTTCGTGGTGAAGGACCTGCACAAACTGCCGCCCATCACGTTTGACCACGTCGACGTAACCAGGCTTCTTAAGGACATTACATCCCTCAAAGTTAGCCTGGCCGAGCTGCAGTCAAAATTGGAGGTATCAAATAACACCATATGTGACTTACGTGCCGAGGTAGTGCTGTTACGCAGCGCTGTTTCGGTAACTGGGTCACCTGACGCCTCCAATATGAACACACGACATGGAGCGGAAAACGCTGCGATCAGCAGTTCGTTGGTGGCGAGTGCGTCACCCATTAAAACTGCAAGCGTAGCATCACGCGCCACCGCCGCCTGCGCTTCGACACCGGTGCAAGTACAGGCTTGTGTAGGTACGTTGACCCCTAAACGTGCCTATGCAGATATCGTTGCCGATAACCAAACTGAATCGTCGCAGAAAAAGCAAGCGGCCAATATAAAACGGGGTCAAGCAAACCAGCCTAGTCTGAAAAAGGACAAGCATGACAATGAGGGCTTCATTAAGGTAGAAAGGAAGAAGAAGCCTCTTTGCCGCAACCAGTGCGGTACCGCGCTGGCAGGACCCAACATGCTGCTGCGTCCAGCGACACCCACGACGCTGCTGTACGTGTCCCGACTGCATCACTCCACGAAGGCAGAGGATGTCGTGGAGTATTTGCGAGTGAAGACGAACTGGATCTTGAGAGTAGAGAAGTTGGAGTCGCGCCACAATATTAACTTCAAGTCGTTCGTGGTGCGGGTTCCAACACATGATCTTGAAACCTTTCTCAAGGAACAGTTTTGGCCGAAGGGTATCGTGTATCGGCGTTTCCGTGGCCGGCTACGTGATACCAGTCAGCGAAACACGACGCCGTCTCTTCGTGTGCAATAATTATAATTATGAGTTTTGTTATTGTATATCTATTAGTTTATTGATGTTTAAATTTTTTGGTATTTGTAATTTTTTAGTTTTGTATTGTATTTTTATTTGTGTATTATATTTTATATGGGCCACAGTTGCCTGAAATAAAGAAATAAATAAAATAAAAAAAAAAAAAACACGGTAAACGAGAAAGAATTCAATTTGTGTGCGTGTTGTACCAAATTGAACATTTTGGTTCGGTGGCAGTTAGATACTGCGTTTTGACTGTTACGTATGGTCATTTGAATTAATTTGTATTTTGTGGTTTGTACAGTTGAACAGATAACATCACGCCTTTTATCCCCGAAGGTGTAGGCAAAGGTGCACATTATGCCACTGTACAATGTAACACCTACTTTTCACTATTTTATGTTATAAGTCTTATGTAATAGGGGGTGAGCCTATTGCTATTTACCGGGCACAATCAATTCCAGACTCTGTGCTATTACTGAGAATTTTTAAACAATCCAATAATACTTTGCCCGATCCGGGAATCGAACCCAAGACCCCTTGCCCGACAGTCGCACTTGCGACCACTCGGCCAACGAGGCAGTCTAGTAGAAGTAGTGGGTGAACAGAATAATATGATAATCGTAATTTGAAAAGTCGGTGACGAAAGGTAGTCTTTGTTTTTCTTACTCGACAACAACAATCCTTAAATTCCTAATACCCAAAAGGCCGGTAACACACTTGTAACGCCTCTAGTGTTTCAGGTATCCATGGCAAACGCCGATTGCGAGCCATCAGTTGATCCATCTGCTCGTTTCCGACTTATCCCAAAAAAAGGCTTAAATTTTCATTTTTTGGTTTATCAATTTGCAATTTTAAATGCGAACATTAGCAAACCAATTAATTATTATATATTTATGACACCAGTTTTGCGTCTTTAGTTAAACATTTAAATAAATACCTCTAGTACCAAATAAATTACAAAATAATGTGTATGAATTACAAAAGAGTGTGTAAGTATCATCATCATCATTATCATCATCATCAACAGCATATAAATGCCCACTGCTGAGCAAAGCCTCTTCTCACACGGAAAAGGTTTGAGCATTGAATACCACGCTTGCTCAAATGTGGGTTGGCGATTACAAACTTATAATTAGAAATTATAAGCCCAGGTTTCCTTCACCGGTTGTCAGTGGTGTCTAAATAATCTTAGAAAGTACATATAACTCGGATAAAGTCACATTGGTACTTGCCATTGGTAGGTTTCGAACCCGCACCCTCATGCATGAGAAGCGGGCATCTTGAAACTCCAGGCCACCAATATATATTATTATTATATTTATTTATGTTCTTATCTGAAATATTTTAGTATAGTCTTCTATTGAAGACTATACTAAAATATTATTGAGCAAATATGCTCAATAAAATCGTTGCTTGCTTCTTGCTCCTACCATTAACTCTTCTCTGCATCACCCTAAGGTCAGACTGAGAGAAAATGGCTGCGGCATTAAGTCCACCTTGTGTACGCTTTGTGCATTAAGCGTTAATAAATCAATAAAATAATATTATAGCTTCATTGATTAGCTTACATTATTTCCACTCCTATTAGTACATGAGAAAGGACGCGTTCTTTTTCTTCTTAAGCCATTTTAATTTTCAGACCTCGAGTTATAACCCAAAAACCTAATTTTTTTTATGGCATAAACCGGTAATCGAGCAGACGGTTCACCTGATGGTAAGCAATCGGCGTCGCCTATTGACACTTGGAACACCAGAGGCGTTACAAGTGCGTTACCGGCCTTTTGGGGATTTTGAGGATCGTTGGAGAATCAGGAATTGGGGAGATTGGGGAAGGTGAGGGTAATTGGGCCTCCGGTAACCTCACTCACACGACGAAACACAACGCAAGCGTTGCTTCACGTCGGTTTTCTGTGAGGCCGTGGTTTCGCTCCGGTCGAGCCGGCCCATTCGTGCCGAAGCATGGCTCTCCCACACTTTTTAAATTTGACTTAGGAATACCTCAGACCTCATCAGCACATATTAAATTAATATAATTAAATAATTTACATAACTATTACTAAGGGTGAGTGATCGAATAAGTTTCTGTATCTGTTCATTGCTGCATGATACCAGACACGATACATATTAATTAACAAAATTGCACTCTGCAAAATTAAAAAGCAATTTTACCCTCTGGGTATCGAATGCAAATTTTTAAATTAATTTTAAACATATTTTTGTAGAATTTATTTTTGAAATTGAGTTCGATGAACTATGGTTTTTAATTAATTTTGTATATACACATAATTTCGTATTTCATATAGTTAAAGGGGTAGATAGAGGAGTATAAACTTTCATTGTAACATTTTTTTTCTCTTGTTATGTTATTACTTGCAGTAGTGTCTGACTTTTTGAGTTTGAATAAAGATTTCTGAGAAATTGAAGGACACTAAATAATACTTAGCATAACCTAGGAATCGAATGTGATAGTTCAACTTACACTTGCAATGAGTTAACCAACGAGCTTTAGTTATCACTAGCTATTGCCCGCGACTTCATCCGCGTAGAATATAAAGTTTAGGACATAGCTTTTTTGTTTTAATTTTCCAAAAAGTAGCCGATGTTACTCCTTGGTACATCAGCTACCTGCCAATAATAGTCCTGTCAAAATTGGTCCAGCCATTCCAGAGATTAGCCACTGCAAACAGACAGACAGACAGATAGACAGACAGACAGACTGATAGACACAGATAGACAGATGTACAGACAGACAGAGGCCTTAGTATGAGTTTGTTATACACTAAAAGTAAACGTAACGACTACGCGTTCGACGCTCTGATTGGTTGGTTCATTGGCGCCGGCCAATCAGAGTGCCGAACGCGTACTAACGTAAATCAAACCCATAAGTAAGGCCTCAGATAAAGATGAAAAAAAAAGGTTATTTTGGTATATGTATCGTATGTGTTATTATATGCGTGTTTTTTTTTTAAGGGGGGAAAATCATCGAATGACTGCTCCCGCCTGGGTGAGGCGGGAGGGAGTGTCAGACTCCGTTCCTTCCCCTGTACGTCGAGCCGGAGTCCCGGTTACCCGTTAGGTTCTCGACATTATATGCGTGTAGTAAAAAGCGGTTATTTTAATATTACAAATAAACACTACAATTATATTTACTTGTATGGATAAAACTCGACTACCTTATACAAAACACTGTTTTAATAAAATGAAATACAAAGGTTTCAAACTGAATGAAATGCTTTCCGTCCCGGCTTCGCACGGGGTAGACAATTATTTATTTATGGCAATTTGGATTGTTGTAGTGACATAACTACAATAGTTGGACATATGCTACCGCAAAGAATTTTGTAGACATTATGATGTTCTTCAATATTGTTGTAAATTATTTTGTTCTATCGCCAATAGTTTCGGCAGCGCATTCGACGAAAGACATTTTAAGACTCATTTTTCTACACCGTCGGTTACATCGTTCAAATTTTACCAAGGATCATAATTTTTATCAAAATGAAATGTAGCTTATGTCAAATTGGCTTACCTTCAGGTGATCCGTCTGCTCGTTTACCGATTAATGCCATAAAAAAAATATTTCTTTATTCAAAGGCATAAAACGGTAGCCTAAAAAAAAGTCTAAAAGTTGCCGGACTGGGCAATTCACTTTGCAAAAATCTAATTTTACAAGAATCCTACTCGCACCGGCCCGTTTTTGCCAACGATACTCCCATTTTCATAGTGTTTCACAACCTTTCTGAAACACAGTACATCGAGGTCCAGTGAGCAGCAGGTAAACCTATTTCTTTTTTTATTGCATTTTCAACTTTATAGTTTCGATGTAATGTCGAAAATTGATTGGTCGACTGGTGTAGTTTGATCTGCTGGTCACTGTAAATTGTAAGTAAGGTTTGATGTCATTCCGTTTCAGGATAAAACCTGCGATTCGTGTGTTGTCACGCAATTAAAAAGGCATTTTTATACAAAATATTTTATCTGTGAAACTTCTATCTTCGGTTAAGACTCAACATATCTTTTTTATTAATTATTGAGCTCGATCTCGTAGGAATATCGGAACAAAAAATATAGCCTACACTATTACCTATAAAGTAAGATATCCAGTATTGAAAAAAATTTGATCATTTTCGAAGCTTATTCAATCCAAATAAACAATCAAATCGTGTTTATTACCGACTTCAAAAAATAGGAGGAGGTACTATGTTCGTCTGATTGTTTTTTTTTGTAACATTAGTATAGATAGAGGTTATTTGTATTTGATCTGATTTTAATTAAATAAAAATGTATTTGAATACAATGTTTTTGTTTTGGTTACATTGATTGGTTTTTATTACGTTTATTTTATTTTATGTATGTTGTGCTTTGCCCGTTTCGTGGTTTACTAATGTGAATTTGAATGCTCAATTTCAGATATAAAATGTTGAGATTTTTTTTTGTTTTATTGCCTTGTTGTGGTGGCTTTTGAAACTGAGTTTATGTTCACTGATGGTATTCGGTTCGTTCCTAATTACATACACATTTACATATATATTTGTGTCTTTGCCCAAAAAACATTTATAATTTAAACAAGATTACCTACCATGTTTAGTTTATAAAATTCATATTTTTTTTATGGCATAAGCCGGTAAACGAGCAGACGGATCACCTGATGGTAAGCAATCGTCGCCGCCTATGGACACCTGGAACACCAGAGGCAATACAAGTGCGTCACCGGCTTTTAGGAGTTTGAGGATCGTCGGGGATTCAGGGATTGGGGAGATTGGGGAAGGGGAAGGTAATTGGGCCTCCTCCTCTTTATTTCAAGTTCTTCTAGTAATTTGAAGATTTATAGACAATGCTATGTCTACCTTATTTTCTAGGGGATAGGTTTGATTTATGAATATGGCAGTGGTCATCTTAGTACCTAAGTTTGAATTTGTGTTACGTCTAAAGTACCTAACTCTGATCTTAACCACACTTACAGTCGGTTTCCTTTTTAGCAATGAGTAAAACCGGAGATTATTTTGTGTTTGAAGATCCCTGTTTCTCAGAAAGCTTGTT